GATGATGAGCTGATAAAGAGTGAAAGATGATTGGGCAATGAGAAAATAAGGAAAGAAAAAGAGAACAAACAGGGTTTTAGGTCAGGAAGATATTTATCTGTGCAAAACTGGAAAGGAAATGTGTGAGGCTCCAGAGTTTCAAATAAATAAGATAAACTGAGCACACTGTAGCTAATGTTTGTATCATTGTGCAGAACCTTCCCCAACAATTACTGGGACAAGTTTGTGAAAAGAAAGGTAAGACTTTTTTGTCTTTTTTTGTCAGCCACATTTTTGCAGTTATATATTGAAGTACGACGGTCAACTCAACATCTGTATGTGATGTCCAGGTTTTGGATAAATATGGGGACATTTATGGCAGAGAGAGAATTGCGGAGCTGCTTGGTATGGACTTGGCTTCTCTTGATGTCAGCGCCATGAGCCATGGAAAAAAGCCTGAACCTGACACCTCAATGTTCAGCTGGTAAGCTCACGCATTACATGAATCAATATCATTTACAGAGTTATATTTAAAAAAGGCATAAGGGCAAATGTGTCTGTTGTTGTGCAGGATAACATCTATTGACATCAAATACCAGATCTGGAAGAATGGTGTGGTCTTCACTGATAATGTGAGTAAAAGAAAGTTTTTATGTAATTAAAACATTAAGCGAATCTGCTTTGAATGCGGTCTTCCTGATGCATTTTTTAAATATCTTTTAGACTTTCCTCTACCTGGTTTGGTACATGTTGATGTCTCTGCTTGGGCACTACAACAACTTCTTCTTTGCTGCTCATCTTGTTGACATTGCAATGGGCGTGAAAACCCTGCGCACGATTTTGTCCTCCGTCACCCACAACGGCAAACAGGTTACACTTTTGCTAAAGATACGTAATCGGGCTTTCAGTTGACCTGTTTTGTTTTTTTGTTTTTTTACATTAGATCCTTTGTTTTCCTCCCTTTCGCTGCAGCTGGTGATGACAGTGGGTTTGCTGGCCGTGGTGGTGTACCTGTACACTGTGGTGGCCTTTAACTTCTTCCGCAAGTTCTACAACATGAGTGAAGACGAGGATGAGCCGGACATGAAGTGTGATGACATGATGACTGTGAGTGAAGGGCAACCCCCCCACAAAAAACAACAAAGCAAAAAAACCCACTTCAGGACACACCCAGCATGATTTTTTGGAGGTCGGCTTTACTATGAGTTGTGATGCTATCTAAACTGACCTCTGACTTTACCTCCTCCTGCAGTGTTACCTGTTCCACATGTACGTTGGTGTGCGAGCTGGCGGTGGCATAGGAGATGAAATTGAGGACCCAGCTGGTGATGAATACGAGCTTTACCGCGTTGTCTTTGACATTACATTCTTCTTCTTCGTTATTGTCATCCTGCTGGCTATCATCCAGGGTAATTTTGTGTTATTTGTGGACGCTTACTGAACCACCGTATCATGACACAGGGCACTGCAATTTCACTGCAGACTGTATACAAATGGCTGTAAGCATAAGTCTAAACAGAAAATGGCATTTACAGCCAGTTTTAACACTGAAAAATGTAGCATTTAGCTATTTGTGCAGTATCACAAGTGAAGAAGATATTTCTGTTTTACAAAAATTAGAAAAGGGTAAAAAGAGTATTTGTCTGTCTCTCAGGTTTGATCATTGATGCATTTGGAGAGCTGAGAGACCAGCAGGAGCAAGTCAGAGAGGACATGGAGGTAAGGCTTAATTTTAAACAACCTACATCTCTCTTTCAACTACTAGACATGATTTTGTTTATCATAAAGTTTCCTTTCTCCCTTTAGACAAAGTGTTTCATCTGTGGAATAGGGAGTGACTACTTTGATACGACGCCGCACGGCTTTGAGACACACACTTTAGAAGAGCATAACTTAGCCAACTACATGTGAGTGGCATTACAAACGCAGATGTGACTTTCACGCCATTAAACATAATACTCTGTTATTTAAAATAGAAAATCAGCAGATATTTGTGCTAATTGTATTAATCTGAAAATCATGTTTAACCCCTTAATGCTAATGATTTTGACTTCTGTCAAGTCTCATTTGTGTTTCTGTTTCAGGTTCTTCTTGATGTATTTAATCAATAAAGATGAAACAGAACACACAGGACAGGTGAGTAAATATAGGGATTGATTTGAGACAAATATTGATGTTTCAAAAACAAAGGTGCAGGCCTCCTTAGTATTTTTTGGAATTGTTAATTTTGAAAGTCGGCATTCACCAACGTTGCACCATTTTTCAGGAGTCATATGTGTGGAAAATGTACCAGGAACGATGCTGGGACTTCTTCCCTGCTGGAGACTGCTTCAGGAAGCAGTATGAGGACCAGCTTGGATAAAGTCATGCATCTTTACTCTGCATCCAATGGAGAAAGAGAGGAGAGAGAAGATATGAAATTTTAAGATCAAACATATCTATGTCTTAGTTTTGTCCTTTGCCTGCACAGTTCTCTCCTCTGTTAAAGCTATGCACACTTTGACTGCACTGTTGTACCACCTGCAGCAGAATGTTGTTGGAGCTTATTTAAGAAAGGGAGAGTAATAACCGTGAGGTATAAGAAGATACAAGAAGCCAGGGGCCTTTTTATTCTGCTCTGACTACACTACATGGCCTTTTTGTGAAATATACATAGTTTGCCTTGCATATCAGTTGTGTCTTTTCAAATGGGGCTCTTTCGTCGCTACTGCTGTAAACGTTTTAGTGCCTATAGCAAAGCCACTGCTTCAGCAATTTCGTTTAGATTTTCAGTTTCAACACTTTTCTTTGAGATATTTTATTTATATTATTTGTAAAATTAGGATTTTTTTTTTGTACATGGCTGCTGCTGACTGGTATTACATGTCTGACTGTTGGTGTTTCTGCAATAAAAGCAGCTCGCAGTCATTTTTCTGAGATCCTTGAGAGGGCAGTAAAGATATTTGGCCGCCTCTCACTCTTTTTCTCTCAAAGCTTGTCTTCGGAGAAGCAATCGTGAATAGAAACATCTGAACTGACTTGCCAAAATAAAAAAACACACTGACATCAGTACATGGCATGTACCGGTGTGAATCAGCTGTACAGATGAACCTACTTGGCACTCTTAAGTCTTACAATGCATCCCTGAATGTATGTGGTGCCCAATCTCTGCTGGTGTTTCCGTGCCATATAAGATATCGATGATGTACACACACATACACTATAAGAGGATGCCAAGGTTATTTATTCTTTATATGCAGATCAGATCTTCTGAAGACGACCGTTTTAGCCCGTCTGTATTTCTGGCCAACAGTCTGTTTTATGACACTTTATGCACAAATAAGTTTTTGTCAGTGCATTAAAATAAGTAATGAATGTATCTAACGTATACACTTTGGCCAAAGCGTCATCTGTATAACTGAGGAATGACTAGGCTGCCTGGACGCTTTTTGATGAAAAGACATATTTTACTTAAACCATAGATACATATATTTATTTTTATTTGGGGCTTTGAGGGATTTAAATGACCCTTGCTACTTTGTTGGACACGTGTGTCCTGTTTGTGACATCCTCAGTGGTGAAGAGAAATGGTCTTACACAGGTTTATATGCCCAGTTTGCAGTCAGAAGAGAAAGTTAGCTTTTGTTTTTGCTAGTTAGGTTTTTATGATCAGTATTTTTAGGAATTCAACATATGAATTATTTTCTCAATTTAAATTTGATGCATTGATCTCAGACCGTTCTGTCTCACTATGCCTCCTCCTGAACACATGAAAACTCATTTACTCTCCATCTTGTATTTAATGTTATTATATGTCAAATACAGAGCAGTATTTTGGTTGCTGATGACTCTGAAGTGTGCATTTGCCGCTGTAGCCCTATCAGAAGCAGTTGATGTTATGGAACTGAATAGAGATCACTACTTTCCACTTGACTGAGTGTCCTCTGACTGAACCCTGTGTTTCAATACAGAATAAACAGACTATTTTAAGGAGAACGTGAAGATGTCTCCTTATTTCCGTGCAAGCTTCTGTGTGTTTCTGGATGTACATCTCCCCAGATTTGTTCTTCATGTTACCTTGTATTTAGAAGTTACAAATTCCATTCATATTTGGTCTCACAAGGTTGTTCTCCAGTAAGATGAGCCAGGCAGTCTTCATGCATTTCTTTTGGGCGATAACACTGATTTTCATTTTGCAATTACACATTGAAGTGGCAAAAGCTAGAGTTTACATTTTATTAGATGAAAGATTTTATAGGTTTGATGGTGTCTTTAAAAACTTTAACTTAACCAAATATGAAAAGTCCTTAGTTAAGCAGGACACACCCATGTATTACTGTGACAGTTTTGTTCTCTGAATGAATTTGTGTGGGTCTACATTCAACCACACAACCATTCAGTGTGTTTACTTTACAAAGCACTTGCTGGATTAAGCTAACGCCTCCATGTAGTATGTATGCGTACATTTATGAGGTTACCTGAGTGGGAGATAAGGATTACTTGTGCTTCTGTTTGGCTTTAGCAGATAGCCTTGTTTGGATATTTAATGAATCATACTTAGAGTACACACCTCTACGGTTCTGTTTTATGATATCAGGTTTCTGTGTGTACCAGAGGTAATTTATTCATACATACAGCTCTATTTCAAAAGAATTCTGTTGCACACAAACTACAAAATGCACTATAACAAACATCATTGTACATCATGTATTGAGTATGAATTTAATCAGGTCTACCATAAATAGAATGAGGACCATAGAATGAATCACCACCCTGTAGAATGGATACTCATTGGTTCATCATTTTGGTTTTTCCTTGCACAGCTGCACACAAATGCATTCTCAGTCTTTTTCTTTCAAGTGCCACTCCTCGGCAGGGGCAAAGGTTATTTGCATCACGTTACTCCAAAGTAAACAGTGATGCAGGGCTGGGTGTGGTACTGTTCTACCCCTCCCTCACTGCTTGTATAAAATAAGGCATCTGGGTGGTATTAGTGTTCGGTGAAGTTCTCCTGTTTTGTTCTGCTCGCCCATCTTACTGACTGCAGCCATGTTTGTTGCTCCTCCTGGCTATCAGCCAATCTATAGCCCGGTAAGTATCTGCACGCACTGATACCCACAAAAATATGTTTTTTTCTATTAGGTCTTAAACAAGCGTCATTGTTTTTGTTCTGTTAATAACAATAATATTTGAGCCTGTGGCACTGTGTGAATTTTATGCTGAGAAGATGTAATAAATTGTCCTTAGGTTCTCATAGTTCCATTACCATTACAGGATTTTGCAAATGTATTAACTCAAAAGTGCAATCACATACTTTGTTAAAGAATTCAGATAATATCACAATGGAAGGTCGGCCGTTTTTGTAAGGAGAAACTAAAAAAGTGACACCACAAAATGATAGCAAAGACTTAGTATTTTTAGTTGGATCTTCTTTTTAGTTATTCAGTTTTTTCCAGTGGTTCCCAAAAATGACACGTTTTAAGTGAGGGACATTAATGAAGGCATGAGATTAGGAAAGTTTATAACACTTAGAACAGGAGTAAGTAAACAACGTTCTAATTGACCATAGTACTGGTCACGGTTCTTAGTAGAAGGATAGACTAAACAATCTGACCCATAAGGAAGTGTAGGTCAGGATATACAGCTAAATTCAATTCATTTGTATTTATATAGTTCTAAATCACGACAGCTGTCGCTTCAAGACCCAGCCAGGCCCTAATAATCAGATAGCCCCCTGTGATCAAGCACTTGGGGAGGAAAAACTCCCTTTTAAGAGGAATAAACCTCCAGCAGAACCAGGCTCGGGCACCCATCCACCATGACTGTTTATGGGTGAGGGGACAAAGACAGGGCAGAACATTAACTGGAAGTGAGTCATAGATTAATAATGACTAACGATAACATTCAAAGTTGTGCATAAACACACAAAGAAAGAAACGCGCAGTGCATTATGGAAAGTCCCCAGCAGAATAGGCCTATTGCACCATAACTAAGGGAGAGTTCAGGGTCACCTGTTTCAGCCCTTTTGTTGAACATGGCTTGTTAATAGATTGATTAATCATATTTAAGACTTGTCCACTGTATACTGAGGTAAAAATACAAAAATTATGTATTTTTCCAAAGAATTATGGAAGACAGTGTATATAATACATGGACTGTGTGTGTTTTGCCATGCCCAGTAACAGAGAGAGAGGCCAAACTGAGAGAGTAAGAACTGTTGCGAAATAAGATAAACACTAGATAGATTCACAATGCTGTCCATACTGCCCAGGCCTTTGTATAAATATTGAAATGCTGGGCCTCTTTTGGCTTCATTGAAACAAATAATACATTTACAGATTTGGTACAAACCAAATAGAAAAGCCTGATTAATATTTTACATGCATCAAATATTATTGTACATTAAATCCTAATTTGACATTTAACTAGTAACTATACTAATAATATATACAAATATATTATGATAGTTCAAAATAACACTAGAGTACTGTAATTAATCACTGCAAAGTAATTTGTAACTTGATTTAATCATAATATGACTGACATTTGGACATTTGGACTATGAAGTGCGTACATTCCACAGTGTTGCTGTGTTACAGTTACTTAATATTTTGTCCCTGGCACAGGACATGCCCTATCTAGGGCCTATTAATGGAGGGCTGAGGGAAGGAACATCCATCTATATCCAGGGGACCATTCCCAAGCACATCACCAGGTGAGGGGAAGACATAAACTCGTGACCCTATACACTTTACAGAAAATTTGTTATAGTCAATAACTGTTAAACAGTTTTGTCTGTTTCCAAGGTGGTTGTCTTTAGCTATGATTTATCATTTATATCCAAGAGGCAGCAGTGATTCAGGATCATAGTCCATTAACGGGCAGAGTAAAAACTGCACATACCTCACTGTGTCAACATATTAAGCTCTTTTTTTTCTTTTTCTTTTTTACAACAGTTACAGTTTCCTAATCTTATCTGCTTTCTTTCTTTCTTTCTTTCTTTTCATTGGCAGGTTCTTTATCAACCTGATTTGTGGAGAATCTGAATCCAGCGACATTGCCCTACACTTCAACCCTCGATTTGATGGCAGGGACAAGGTGGTCTTCAACACCTGTCAGAATGGATCCTGGGGGTCAGAGGACAAGATTCACAAAATGCCTTTTAGAAAGGGAGAGCATTTTGAAATGGTCATCATCGTTACTTTGCAGGGCTACCAGGTCAGGACAAACTGTTGTACAGACAATGAAAACAAATTCTATGTATGTAAAAATGTAAAAATCTATTCATGTAAAAGCTGTAACTGAAGACTCAATAAATGGTTTATTCTCAGTATAATATAATTGTAAGGTATTATAGTCAGTATGTGATCAGTTATATTATTACCACTTATGCTTCTTTTATTGATTTAATCCAACACAAATATGACATTATTCTGTTGCAGATTAAAGTAAATGGGATTGATTTCCATATTTTTCAACACCGCATCCCTATGGAGCAAGTTCGTGGGCTGCAGATTGCAGGAGATGTTTCCATCCAGACGATTAATTTTATTGGGGTGAGTCCTCAGCTCCGTGAATCTTCCGCATTGATGCTTCGGGCTTTGCTGGGAAAAATAAATTAAGTCAAAATTATCAAAAGTTTAGATTTAACAAGTCTGGCAGCTGTTGGCTAACGATTTCTGCTTATGTGCCCAATAGGGCATGCATAGGTATCATGAAGGAATGGGAACAATTAAAAAAGAACATGTTGCATCATATTCAGAAAAATCTTTTCTTTCATGTTTTGCTGGGTTTAAAAGTCATCTCTTTACAAATGTGAAATTAGCAGATGAATAAATATGTTTGTATGAATGAATGAATAAGTATGTTTCTATCAATATGCCAGATTTCTCCTTGTATTTCAAACAACACAATCTTCTGTGTTTAATCATTATTATGGTCAACAGCACTTACTTTGTGAAGATTTTGTTTTTAATTCTTTTTTTTCCCTATTTGATCTTTTTAGGGTGGAATGGGAGGAGGAATGGGAGTGAGTATATATATGTAATATCAAAATGATACAAATTAATTTACCACAGCTTTTTCATGATTACAGTCATTCCCTGCTTTTCAACAGGGAGGATATCCAGGAGGTGGCATGGGGGTATGTTACTTTTGCTGAAGCATGTTTTGCATTCTGTTTCTTTAAATATTACTGTAGTGAGATAAAGTGTGCATATATTTAATTTGAACTGCACCGTGCTTCTTTTGACTTCCAGGGAGGTTACCCAGGTGGCATGGGAGGAGGAATGGGAGTAAGTGTACTGAGTAACTGAACATTTGCTTTTGATAAGATCGCTGTAATTTTTCAAGTGCCACATTAGTACCCAAATGGTAAAACATACATATTTGAAC